GAACTCTGGGCCTGGGCGCTGTCCCTGAGCTCTTCAGCTCAAGGATAGCGCTCTACCACTTGAGCCATAGCGCCACTCTGGCTTTCTGGTGGTTAATTGGAGAAGAGTCTCATGGGCTTTCTGGCCTGGCCTGGCTTTGAACTACAGTCCTCAGATCTCAGCCTCCTGAGTAGCTAAGATTACAGGTTTGAGCCACTGGCACCTGGCTTCAGCAAAGTTTTGTTCTTTTTGTTGTTGTTGTTTAATCTTTCCTTGTTATATAGCCCAGGCTAGCCTGGAACTCCCAATCTTCTCATTTTCCTCCTCCTGCTGAACAAGTGCTGAGATTACCAGATTGATTCAGCGAGATTTTACTCAGCATTCCCCAGGAGCTGAACTCTCTGCCCTGGTTTTTCACAAGTCTGGGTCTCTGTTGGCACCTCTCACACCACTGATGTCTTTCAGGCCTCTTGGTGGTTCAACTCCAAAGCAGCTTAGCAAAGAGCGGGCTCCCAGGCAGGCCCAGCTCCATGTATGGTGCTCTCCAGCCTGTGTCTCGGCTAGGGAGGTGCAAGTGTCCTTTTGGAACTATCACTGACTAACCAGACAGGCCTACCCACAGAACTATAGATCAAAATACCATTTCAGCCTTAAAGCAGGGCACACATACAGCCTGCAGGAAGGACGCATGATATTCCGTCAAAATGGAGCGACGAATAGTCAAATTCAAGAAACAAACCTGCTTAGCAGTTTGGGCTCATTCTGAAAACCAGAGGAAGCAGGCTCCTTGCTTTACTTTTAATAGCGTGGGTTGCCATGCCAACCAAGGCTGTTGTTTAAATTAAAGGGGGAAAAGAAATGCTCCTTCCTACACAAACCTTTCAGCAGGACTCACAATTAGTCTTCTAAAAAACATGAAACGAATACACTGGAGTGATGGTAAACACTGTGCTTATATTTAAACCTGTCGGAGTGAGGCTCTCATCCACCTCGAGCCTGGGATGGTTGTTCTGTCATCGCTGCCCAATATCAAGGCCTGAAGGAAAGCAAGCTTGGTGTGGGCATGCACCAAGGCTGCTGGTCTTAAACCGGGAGAGTAGACTTCAGCCTTAAATGAGCACTGCAGAAGAAAGGGATCGAATGATATCCCATGACAGAGCCTCTGCTTCCCGGATACAACCAGACTCTTTAAAGGCTGGGTCTGCACAGAGCTGTAGGACACACCCATCATCCATGGGCACCAGTGACAGGAGGAACGATGAGCTTGTACTTGTACTCATAGTAGTTGCTCTCCTTCCCTCCCCTCCCCTTCTTTTCCCTTCTCTGGCCTATGGACTGGGTCAGCCAAGGAGAGGAGAGCAGGAAACCAAGTCCGGCCCTGCTGCAGGGGTGCTGCTGCTGGCTGGGATAAGAAGAAGAGGAAAAGCTCAGGACAGACCCTCTTCTGTCCTAACAGGCTGATGGCTGCCAGCTCTTGTGCATGCATACCAAGACTGCATGTGTGCAAAGCACACTCACCGCAGTCTTTCTGAGACAGAGAGGATCTGCTCGCAGATCAGTCCTCTACAAGACCCATCTGGAAGGGTATCTCTTTCTCTTAGACTAAAGCAGACCCCGTGTTCAAAATCCCAGTGGAAATCTGAGGCCACTAACAGTAAGTAGCAAATCCACACATGCTGCTTCTCCTCTACCTCCCGCAGCACCGTCACAAAGTTACTGTCCTGCCCTGTCTGATTCCCTGGTGCCCCTCCTACCACATCCTTGCACTTTGAGGTCACTACTTGTTATTAAATTTACATAAATTAAAATTAAATTCTCTTCACTCAAAGTCCTGAGGAAGTGGAAGGTCAGGTGAGAGAGAACAAAAACGTAAGGCAAATGGATTCAAGACAACAGGAGAGAAGCAGGAGGTGAGGGAAGCAGGAGGTGAGGTGAGGCAGGGGAGAGATGGCTTCTGCTAGGCAGAGTAGGGGTGGAGGCCCATCCTCAGGAGGGGTGGCACGGCCTCCTGGGGTGCCATGAGCTTTCATGTTTCCAATATGACATCCGCCATATTTGGCAGAAGATCTGAATCTCAGGTTGGCAGTCATCACATTTGCCATGGCATACCAGACACTTATATAGAAAGGGCAGGGAAAAGCAGGGCAGTGGTGGCTCACGCCTGTAATTCTAGCTATTCAGGAGGCTGAGATCTGAGGATAGCGGTTCAAAGCCAGCCCAGGCAGGAAAATCCATAAGACTCCAATGAACCACCAGAAAACCAGAAGTGATGCTGTGGCTCAAGTGGTAGAATGCTAGCCTTGAGCTGAAGAACTGAGGGACAGTGCCCAGGCCCAGAGTTCAAGCCCCACGAATGACGGGGGGGGGGGGGGAGGGAGAGGTGGGGGAGAGGGAGAGGGAGAGGGCAGAAGAAACCAAAGCCAAGTATGCAAGCCCTCCAGCACAGGATGTGAGGGGTGCTGAGCCCCCTGAGGTGTGCTGAGCTTCTAGGGAGGGTATGCTGAGTCTCCCAGGGTCAACTGGTCCCTTCTGTCCCCATTGGGAGAGGTGCGAGGACAGAGGCCACACTGTATCCACACTGGACCCATTTGATTGCAGCCCCGTGGCAGGGAACAGCTGACAGCACACATATGTGTTGAATAAATGTTTTTGTTTGTTTGTTTGTTTTTTTAACTCAGGGCCTGGGCATTGTTCCTAAGCTTTTTTGCTCAAGGCTCAGGCTCAACCCTTTGAGCCACAGCTCCACTTCCTGTTTTGGGTGATTAATGGGAGATTAGAGTCTCACTGGATGTTCCTGCTCGGGCTGGCTTTGAACCATGATCCTCAGATCTCAGCCTCCTAAGTAGCTAGGATTATAGGCATGAACCACCTGTGCCTGGCTAAAGATGTGAACTTTCTATAGTCTATCAGTTGAGTTATATTTCTAAGAGTAAAGATAAAATACAAAAATCTAAAAGGCTGGAGGGATGGAGAGGTAACCCCCCTTGTTTCTCCCCCTACCACATCCCCTGAAGGCCCCCACTTTGCCCTCTCCAGTACCCTGAAGGCAGCCTTCGGCACTGCCTCAACCGTTTTAATTTTTTTTTTTTTTTGGTGGGTGATGGGGCTTGAACTCTGGTCCTGGGCGCTGTCCCTGAGCTCTTCAGTTCAAGGCTAGAGCTCTACTACTTGAGCCACAGTGCCACTTCCAGTTTTCTGGTGGTTTATTGGAGATACAGGTTTCATGGACTTTTCTTGCCCGGGCTGGCTTTGAACCGTGATCCTCAGATCTCAGCTTCCCGAGTAGCTAGGATTACAGGTGTGAGCCACCAGCACCCAGCTGCCTCGACCATTTTAAAGGTGGCTAGTGAGGTACACACAGGGCTCCAGACTCTGCAGTGACTTGGTGTCAGGTCATCCCCACAAGATGGAGGCCGCATGTGACATCCAGGTGAAAGTCATCTGAGTGAAAACAAGCTCCTAGGATTCCTTGCTGAGAGGAGGCATATGCCACAGAGCTGTGGGCGCACACAGAAATGCGGGGAGGGTGGTAGTCGTGTCCCGGGGCCATCCATGGGAGGACACTAAGCTGAGAGCAGGGGCTCTGCGGCCTGTCAGAGGAGCTTCTACCCTGAGGGACGAGGGTAGATTTCTACCTGGGGAAAGGCTGCATTGCTACATGAAGGTATGAAGATACACGGTAGACCACAGCCCACCAGAGACCTGGGGGCTAAGTGGTTTGTCTATAGAGGAAGAAAATACCTGGACCATGAGCAGGAGGCCTGGAGCCCATACCTGACAGGATTAAGCTGGTCGAGAGGAGGAACCCAGAAAAAGCAAGGCTCCCAGAGGAGGACAATCTGAGCCGAGTGAATGCTAGGACCAGGTCCTGGCAAGCAGGCCCTGTGAGCGGGGCTTCTGCACGCACCGCGTTATCCTGCCTCATCGTGGGGGCCTGTGGTGTTTTTGAAGGCTGAGTAACCATCGCTCTGTATAGTCACCAAACCAGAGACTAAAAAAAGATACAAGCCACGCGGGCTCATCTGTTCCCCAGGCTCCTGCCTAATGTGGAGATGCACCCCGGCTGGGGGGCGAGGCGAGCTCTGATCTGATTTCAGCCAATCTGTTACTGTATGTCACTCCCTGTCCCCATGCCCAGAGGCTGCCGCAATGAGAATAAATTTAGAAGGAGAAAGATAAATAACATGGGAAAGTTTATTTTAACAAAATAGGTTGTTTCTTTCCCTCTTTTTTTTTTTAATTTTGCTGGCTGGGTGCCGGTGGCTCACGCCTGTAATCCTAGCTACTCAAGAGGCTGAGATTTGAGGATCATGGTTCAAAGCCAGCCCGGGCAAGGAAAGTCCGTGAAACTCTTATCTCCAGTCAACCACCAGAAAACTAGAAGTGGCTCTGTGGCTCAAATGGTAGCGTGCTTGCCTTTAGCTGGAGAGCTGAGGGACAGTGCTCAGGCCCAGAGTTCAAGCTCCACAACCAACCTCCCCCCAAAAACATTTGCTGGAGAAAAGATAAACTAATCTCTGTACCAACATGAAATCTGGCACTCTGGGAAGGAACATAATACATAACCATAGTTCAGATAAACCTATCCCTTCTCAAACCATGAAACATACACAAGGTGTCCTGAGTGTTTTCTAGAAGTGGAGGGAGCAAGAAGACAACAGAAGACCCTTATAAGGTCTACAGTCAACGAGCCCCTCCTAGCCAAGTAACACTCGCTAAACCCAGACAGCATTTACTCTGACAAGGTACTCGGGCCAGACAATGCCATCACCAGACTTTCGTTATGGGAGTAACAATGGAAGAGAAACTGCCTTCCCTCCCCATTCACAGCCTGGAGTTAGAAACCATCCATCATTCTACAACTCAGTCATTAAGTCCAATCACAAAGGAGGAAATGGAAGTTACATGACTAGCCCCATATCAACTACCAATGACAGAGAGGTGCCTGGACCAGGGAGCTCTTCTCTGAGCCATCCCGCCATCCCTGCCACCTAGAAGTCAACCAGACTCAGCAGGTGTACCTCAGACAGCATCTCATACTGGCCTCTTCTCCCAAGAGCAATAGTCAGTAAATCATAGACCACGGATGCACTCTGCAGACTGATGAGGCGGTCGCTCTTGTGCTCCGGTATCCTGCTCAGCACAGCATCTCGATTGGCCTAAGGATGACATGGAAGAGAGAAGCAGATGGTGAGCTGGTCCACACGCCTGACCATCACTATGTGGACCAGAGGCCACTAGGACCCTCTTGCCCCTAATGGTTTGCTGAGAAGTGGGAGGGAGGGAAGGAGGGAATAAAGGGCCTGTTCATCTCAGGTCAGGTCATGTATTCAAAACCTCCAGAGCACTTAGGTGCACATGGTACATGGTTTGACTCACGCTGAAGGCCTGGCGGTGTGAACCTGTGGCAGGTATTTGGAGAAAGGTCTGGGAGCTTAGAGAAAGCAGGAAGTGCTTCCCAGGGCTCCGGTGCACAGCCAGCCTTGTGGTAGACACAGCAGGCTCTGGGCAGCCTCTCCATCCCTCAGGGGAGGCCCTGCCATATCTCACTTGGGATTTAGCTTCTGCTCTACGTTCATCCATGGAGGACATTCGCAGCCCTGCTTCTCCCATCACCACTCCTACCAGCCCTACAAAGGTGGGGTGTCCCTTTCCTGAGATCATGAAAAGCCAATCACGAAACAGATGCAGAAAAGAGGAGAGAGAGAGAGAGAGAGAGAGAGAGAGAGAGAGAGGTTTGCACTCTACATGACACTAACATGGAGGGCTCAACTCCACAGCCCCGTGGCGTGAGTGCTGAAATCCATCAGGCACAGCGAGGCTGACGCATCTCTTCCTCCCAGAAATCGAATGCTCTTCACAGCAACATGTTTTCATTACTGCTGAAATTTAATTTCGCCACAGATTCCTCCAGATAGACCTCACGTACTAGAGACGCAACAGCCAGCTCATTTTCCTTTTTTCCCCCTTGGATTTTGCCTGCCACTCTTCCCCCGCCCTGCACTCAGCTCATTAGGAGAAGTCTCACGTCCATCTGTCTGAGCCCCACAGGCTTGTCTGTGACAGTGGCACACAAGATTTGGGGGTCACTTGTCTCCAGGCTGGTATTTCTTCCTGCCTGACATTCAGAAAGGCCAGGCGTATACCTTCCCCCTCGCTAATGAGGCAAAAAGCCTGCTTTCTGTGTGAGTCCAAGGTGTTTACTTCTAGCCACCCATCAGAACTTACTCACTTTAAAACGCCTGGCTCTTAAATGTCAAAGTCAACGAGAATACACAACACAGGCCACTTCCTACAAAGTGAGTCACCTCTTATGGAAACAAGCCTGCTTTTGAAGATTTCATTCTAAGTTTTTCTCTACGCAGTATCTTTGGAGCCCAACAAAAGGCTCTCTAAAGGAGGAGGGCCTGTGTGAACAGCCTGCTTTTACCTATTTGTTATATGTATTTCATACCCAGACCAGTGCCTGAAAGGGAGCAAAACAAACAGACACTCCTCAGGAGAGATTTGCAAGTTTACCTAATGTATCCTCTTTTCCCACCAGAGAAAATCTTTGTATCCTTTGATTAAAAAGGTACAATCTAGCTGGGTATGGTGGTACTTGTTTGTAATCCCAGCTTGGAGGCAAAGACTTGGAGGATCACAGTTTGAGGCCAGTCTGGGCAAAGAAGTTAACAAGATCCCAGTAAGCTGGTAAGGGGGCACTCACTCACCTGTGGTTCCAGCTATGTCTGATGCCACATAGGATCCTGGTCTGCTGAGCTCGGGCAAAAACATGAGACTCTATATGGAAAAATAACTAAAGTGAAAGGACTGGAGCTATAGCTCAAGTGGTTGAGTGCCTGCCTAGCAAGGCTACAGCCCTGAGTTCAAACTTCAGTACCATCAACAAACGAATAATATAATCTCCAACACGAAGCAGATCCACAAGTAATAAGTCTCCTGGAATACTGTCTCTGTGGTAGTTGTACAAATACGGTGTCATAATCTCTCTGTCCAGCAGAAAACTAATTTGCTATACAGTGAGAAAGCAGTACACTTCCAAATGATTTCCTGTAGGTGGATAAATGCATATCTCTAAGTTACAGTCAGAACCGCTGAAAAAAACAATTTTCTCAGATCTCTAAAACACAATCCTCATGTTGGTTCTGAAATCGAGCATGTATTCACCGTCGACCTAAAAAGAGAGAATTAAGAAATCCCAGGACAGGAACAGAACAAGGCTTGTAGGAGCAACTTTACTTGGGACAATGCCCAAGGAGAATAGGGTTGCTTGGGCTGGGAAGCCGGTCCTTCATACTTCCAGGCCACTGCTGGCTTTAACCATCCCCTGAACAGATTGTTCCAGCCCAAACTGATTGTCTCAGAGCGATGTCAACTTTGAGCATTACTCATTTCTGTCACTTCTGGGAAGGAACGGGAGGGTGGGAGGCGCCATCACAAGATGGAGCCACGAACAGCAGGCTTTCAACAAACTCAAGGCTAGCACATGGGCTCTGACTGTGGGACACAGTATTTTCCATCAGAATTGTCCAAGTAACCTAAAATACACGCCACCATGCTTTTAGAGCTTTAACAAGTAACTGTGCGAGTTGTAAAGAGTCCACTGTGGGTCCAAGGAACTGTGGCCAGGTGGCCAACACACACGGGGCCCTCGATCGTCATCCTGGTGGTGAAGCAGGTGACACGCAGTCACCTGAAAAACAGTGACTGTACTACCGCCAGGTACCACCATGGCACACACATGCCACCTGTATGCCTCTCCTACCGGTGCTAAGGCAGAGCAGAGAATAGAAATGCCACTGCCCTGGGTTTCCAGCTGGCAGTCGAGGAAAGCTGAGCCAAGGGGCAGCCTGCATCCTGGACAGGAAGTGAGCCCAATGACGTCAAGGGTGCCCAAGTGAAATGCAATGGTAACTCGAGCGGCCTGGCTCAGGTAAACAACTCTGGGCCATTTCGTAGAAGGAGCAAAGCCCAACTGTTGGTTTTCTGTTGAGGTTGTTCTGTTTTGTTTTAAGCCCACGTTTTAATTGGAGGCAAGGCAGTTGCCCACCTGACTCACTGTAGCCTCTGGCAGCACACAGCACTCTTCCTCACACCGCTGATAGAGCAGCCGCGGTGGGGGAAGGGAGCACCTCACTCTAGGACTGCTTTCTCCCCACTTGCTGCCCAGAGGATGGACACCTGGGAAGGGAGCAGCATGATCTAGCAGGGAGACCAGTGGACCACTGCACCACATGTGCATTTTGCCTGCTCTGGGCCTCGGGTTCTCATCTGTAACAAGGAGGTGAATGGATGGCCTGTCAAGCTCCGAGAACTTGCTATTCTGCTCTAGAGCTCAGCTTGTAGAGGTAACACCACATCCCCAAGGCTTCAAGCCAGGGCCTGCTTAGGGCTGTGAGGAGTAGCTCCATAAATAATCAACGATTCCATTTTAGAACTCAAGCTCAATATCCCAGCCAAACCCTGAGAGATGGGCCAAAGGTTTGGCCGAAGCTCCTCTCAATAGCAGAGCCGGGCAGTGGGGAGCAGCTCACATGGCCTGGACCCTGTGGGGCTTCAGAACAGGTGGTATGTGGAGAGGTGACAGGACCAGGGTATTTCATCAGGCCCCTGTCACAGAAACCAGAGTTCATGTACCCAGCCAGTGATTTATCCCAACACCTGTGCACTCCAGGGTGGGGTGGGAGGCGTGTAAAGGTCACCCCCAGGGCTGATCTCCCCAGGAAGGGGCCAGTGGGGGCCATGAGTAGCAGTTTACTTATATACACATGAGCCAGGACACCTGCCAGCTACGAAGGAGGGAAGAGGTGCAGGTAACCAATCGACAGCGGTAACAGTTCAAGACTTAAACATCCTAAACTATGACTGCTTTCTTCCCACCCAAGTCGTCCCTCCAGAAAGTATGTTCTCTCTTTTTTATTGTTATTGTAAAGGTGATGTACAGAGAGGTTATGGTTAGTTACAGAAGTCAGGTAATGCGTACATTTCTTTTGAACAGTGTCACTCCTTCCTTCTCTCTTTCCCAGTGTCTCCCTCCTGATCTTCCCCCATCACAAGTTGTATGGTCCATTTTCAGCAGTGTCTAGCGAAGATCACTGCCCATTTGTTCAACCTTTGTCCCATTGTTTCTGTGCTCCCCCTCGCCCTTCCCCAAACAAATATACATACAGGACAAAATGTATAGAAAGCAAAAAGTGACCAAGGAGAAAACAAACAAACAAACAAAAACAAAAAACCAAACTAACAAAAAAAAACTTTGTTTCTATTTCTTGGAGTTTATTTTGATAAATACCATTTTGATCACATGTACATAGCTATTGTGCCTTTGTGATCCTCTCATAAGAGTATCCTTTGGTCTTACCATGTAAACGTCTAGAGTCCAGGAAGTATTTTCTCCAGACAAAAAAAAGTTACCATTCTGAGGGCATAGCATAGCAAAAGAGGGGCCCAGGGACAGAAGACAGAATGAGGAAACACATTCCACTTACCATGGATTCACTAATCAGCAGCAACAACAGGGCTTCTTCCGTGTTTTCTTGAGGACAAAAAATGCTGCATAAAGAAAACTCACTTTGATATACAGCAGTTTCAAAATAACACAAAATATACAACCACAAGCAGAATGGAATGCTAAAAGCATCTCGATTTTTATAGAGCACCCATGAAAAATATGGTTTAATTTGGACACTTGAATTAGTTTGCTATGCTAATCTGTGGAATTAATACATTTTAGACACACATTTTAATGGCAAGCAGAAGGGTGAAGTAAAACTGTAAAAACAACAAGTTAAAAGCCCAAATAACATATGTACCTATTACAGAGGCAGGAGCTTCCACAGTTAGAAGGAGATAACACGTGGAGCTACTGGAGCTTTTAAAAGCTCCCACTCAGGATGAGGTCACAAACGGCAGTATTTCACTACACGGTCCCTTCTTACTTACTTGCCATCTGACCTGTCTTATACTGTCATTCAAAGGAAGTAAGAAACCGAAGGCAGTTCTAGTTAGCATAATTTCTCTCATTCTGCAAGTGTTTTGTGAGCTATCTAACTTAAAACACACATTTTATTATGGACCATCATGCAAGAGCCATCTTGTTAATCTATTTTATGGCATTTGGCTGAACTCTAAAATCTTGGATTAAAAGAAAAAGCTTTTAAGCACAATTCTGCTGAGGATTAGAAAACAATAAAAACCCAAACACAGCCCCAGCCTGTACCCTCTGTAGCCCACTCTTTTGTGCCCTGAGTACTTTTAAGGACTTGCAGCTTTTTTTTTCTTTCTTTCTTTCTATTCTAAAGCTCTAGAATCCTTTGAATAGAATTGTGAATCTTATCACCATTTGGGCCAAACTCAACTATTTTTCCCCCCGGGGAATTCAAAGAGTTTGAAATAAATAAAAATAAACTACCCCCCTTTTTTAAAAAAAATTTTTTTAACTCCTGCATGTTTTGAAGATGACTAAATAAAGGCTAAATTTACACCTTCCTGGAAATAACATTACAATCATTTAATTGAAGAGATTTCCTTCCCTCACCACAAACAGCGTTTACCATGTGAGTATAAATACTTGTTCTCTGTAAAGGGTTGGCCATTTTTATCCTGCATCATAGGCCACTGAGGCGTGGGAGGAAAGCACGGCGCTCAGTCCTCTTGTGACAACTCTGACCTGTCACAGGCAAAGGAACCATCTGGAGATGTTTCTGTTGCCCCTCTGCCGCGGAGGGCTCCAGGGGCAAGGCCAGCCTGGGGCACCGGGCAGCATTCTGGGGCTTACAGTCACTTCCTTTGGGGGTCAGCTCCTGGTAACCTGGGGTTTGCAGAGAATGGAACACTTCTCCCCCTTAAATTCAGACACGGAATCTAAGGGGTTTCAAGTGCAGAGGGCCCCCTTCTCCACATCTGCTCTGTACACACCAGTCATGATTTCCTGAGATCCTGGCTCTGCTTACATGCAATGGGGACCTCATAAATAAAGCAGGAACTTTAACCATTTTGTCACAGCTAGCCAGTCCTGCATTATTCAGACTAATTGAAGAGAGAGAGAGGGGGGGGCGGGGAGAGAAAGCTCGTGCTAATTATGACTTAACACTAGCCAATTCCATCCACGGATAATCTCCAGATTCCATTTGAGCCATGCAGTCTGCTTAAACGCTAGGTTGTGTTATTTTTACCAGAGTTGCTAACAAGCAACGCATTAACTGTGCCTAATGTCACTTCCTGGGCCCTCCCTGCTGTGGTAGGCGATGGACAGGCCCTTGGGAGCACTGTGAAACTCTAGGGCTGGGAGGAAGGAGGAGAAGAGAGAGAGGGGGTTGTATAAGACATGCCTGAAAACCCACACACTGTTCTCTCTCAATAATTAATGAATTCTGGAAACCTACTTCTGGTCATTTCTTCTTTTGTCCTTGCTCATGCAAGTGTAGGGCAGAGATGTTCACAACTGTCAGTGCCTTGGGCGAGACTTTAGAGTGCTTAGCCCCAGCTTTTGAGAGTGGGAAAATGGAGCACTCAACCAGAGGAAATTACATGATGGGCAGGCCAAGGGACAGGGGGGACCAGCAGGCAGGAGGCTAGTTCGCAAGGCCAGCAGGGGCTGGTCAGTGAGGGCTGTGGCTGGACTAGGAGTGGAGGGTGGCGTGCTCAGCCCCACTCCGGAGGCAAGGGGTAGGCCCAATGCTTGTTTTCTTACTCTGGATACACTTGCCAGCTCAGGAAGTCTTCCTGTGTAAAGATGCTGAGGGCACAGGTGAGGAGTTTCCTGTGTAAACAATGATCACGTCCTGCCAGGGCTCCCAAATAATCTTTCTCTCCGATTTTCCCAGATTGGTAAAAACAACAACAACAAAAAAACCTCCCCCCCACCAACAAAAACCCTCAAACAACAACAGCAACAAAAAAACTCACCCCACGGTATAGAAACAATCACAGCAAAGAACTCAAGCCAGGCTGATGTGACTGCATTTGATCTCTGTCCTGTGGGGATACCTCAAGGAGAGCGGCATGTGGGAGAGTCAAAGGGACTCTTTGTGGGTACAGGAGAGGCCTGGAACTCGGTCACCCCCAGAAAATGGATGTAAATGCTACTTACACAGCACCACTTCCGGCTTTTTCTGCTTTTGTGGTGCTGAGGAATCGAACCCAGGGCCTCATGCATGCAAGGCAAGCGCTCTACCACTGAGCCACCTTCCCAGCTCCCAACTTTCCTAATTCTGTACCTGGCTGCAATGCCACTAGAGAAGCCAGCCAGGTAAGAGCCAAGGAGTCCAGGTCAGGAAGGGCTGAAGCCCCAGCCTCCGCAGCCCCTCTGCCTATGGAATACACCAGGGAAGAATCAACACAGCCTCCGGCTTATAAGAAGAGGGGAGAGCACCAAGCAAGGAATTTAAACTAGAACCGAGGGTGCCTACATCATTAGGGATTAGCTGGTCCAACTAAGGATTAGGCCTCACCTCAACTCACATGAGTCAATAGCACCTCATGACTAAGAAAAAAGAAGGGGCTCCCTCAGATCACCCTAGGCTTCTGGAGCTTCTCTCTGTGGAGGGGATGGGTGAATACCACAGGGTACACTGCCCAATCCAGACTCCTCTGGCCCCAGTGAGGAGACAGGATCTACACAATGACCCAAAGGTGAGTCAGGCTCACTAGAGAAGAGGAAACCAAGCAACTCTACCACCAAGAAGTTGTCCTGACCCACAACATCCCCCGTCTCTCCACTTTAATCAGTACTTTATCCTTACCAAAATCCTCAGCATGGATTCTATGAAGTCCAGACCCATTCTCTGAGCTTCAAGGGATGAGCACCTTTTCCTATGTCTGCCAGGGAGCTCAGCTCAGTAGCTGTTCTCACTGATGTTCATTCAGCAAATCTCAACATCTATTTATGGGCCTACTAGTGGGTTCTAATTTCCTGGTTTGCTGTGCTAATTATCTGGTCTAATTCGTATTTTATGATTTAAGCCACATCAAAGGATTTTCAATGAGGGAGCATATAATGAGACAGACATCTGACTGAAATACACACATTTATACACAAGAAACACGTACAAGAACACTCATAGCAGCACTATTACTATCAGACCCAAATGGATGGGAAATAACTTCACTAGTCATCACAAAGCGAAGAAAGCAATGTACTGGAAATGGTCATATGATAAAATCATATACAGCACTGAAAACTACTGCCACACAAAAACAAGCAAAAATATTTCAAACATAATGCTAGCTAAAAGAAATTAAACATAAGTATACATTATATGATTCCATTTATATAAATGATTCCATTTATATAAACATTTTTAAATTTCATTGTATTAAAGATAATGCAACAATGACTTATTTATTTGCTTGTTTGATTAAACATGTGGTCTTGCTACATTTCCCAAACTGGTCTCAAACTCTTGGGTTTCAGGTGATCTTCCCATCTAAGTCTCCTGAGTGCTGAGACTACAGGTGTGGACTACCACACCCAACCTAAATAACATGAAAAAAAAGAAAGGAGACTAATTACTATGCTAGAAGTCAGGCAAGGCTTCCCTTAGAGATAGTAGTTTTCAGGGGGGGAAAGGCAGTTTGTTTCTAAGGCTCTGGTAATGTCTATTTCCATTTTTCATTTATTTGTTTTTCCCACATTTTCTATGTACCAATAAAAAGCTTGCTCTATAAATAAGTCAACCAAAGCAGAAGATCTTCTTCACAGAAAGACCCAGAATAAAGGAAAGAAGAAGACAGACTTATGACAGAGGACCCCTCCCCTCTTTCCATCTAGGAAAGAGAGTCTTCATTTTATCTCACTTCAAAATTCAAGCCATGTGGCAGCGAGTGAGTGCATGTAGTATGCAGCGACAGGCTGGAGCTTCTGGCTGAGCTGGCCTTCCAGCTGTTTCTTGTTACAATCAGCGTTCTCAACATCCTTGTGGTTTTCTGCAGCTAGAAGGATATGTGCCACCAAAACTTTGCTTCAATTTCCCATAAGAGACTAAGCAGAAGGGGTGAGTGAGGGACCATTGGCCAAAGGAAGTCTGAACCGTATCTCTGGATTCCAACTGAGTTGGTGGTTAATGTCCATTCAGTCGTACTGCTGACTGACAAGCTAGTCCTGCCTTAGTGGTAGGAGAAAGCCAAGCAAGCCCAGCCCAACAGGGTTTCTATCATCACTAATACTCCAACTAAGGAGGGCTTTGCACATCCAAAGTTAAAAGGCTAAAAACTGATGAAGGAATGAGATTACTGTGGAAATGAATGAAATAGAAACTAGAAGCACAACAGAGAAAAGGACCAAAAGTAAAAGCTGGTTCTGTAAAAGAGTCAATATATAGATACTTTTAGTTAAACTGATCCTCTCTCCCAAAGAGAAAAAAGACCCAAATCACTCAGTAAGAAATGTAAGAAGGGACATGACAACCAATACTGCACGAAAAACAATAACAACAACAATAGAATACTTGGGAAGCTCACTGATGAAACAGGAAAATGTGTGGTAGATACAGATCACCAAAATCGATTCAAGGGACCTCGATCAAAAGATTGGATTTGTGTTCAAAAACTTCTCATAAAGAAAAGCCTAGAATGATGACTTCCTCCTCTTTTTAGAAATAGAAGGGGAATGAATACTCCTTAGGTTGTTTTATGAGTCCAGACTAACTCAGATACTAGCACTAGACAAAGATATTACAGAACAGTATCTCTTAGGAATATAGATATAAAACTCTTCCATAGAATATAGCTAGATAGAGCCCCAAGATAAATAAAAAGGATTTTGTACCATAACCTAGTGAGAGTCAACCCAGGAATGCAAGGCTAGCTCAACACTTGAAAATCAATGCAATGTATTACATCAGTAGAATAAAGAACAAAAACTACAAGATCAGCTTAATATGTGCAGAAGGAATATGATAAAATTCAACATCTATTCCTTATTTTTAAAAATACTCAACAAAGTAGGACCAGGAGGGACCATGCTCAACCTAATAAACAACATTTACAAAAGTACATAACAAAGATCATAATTAACAGTGAGAGACAGGATGCTTTCCTCCTTCTAAGGACAGTGTTATAAGAAATGATGTTCTGTTATTGTGCCAGAGTTCTAGCCAGGTCACTAGGGAGGAAAATGAAATGAAAAGCACCAGCTTTTTATTAATGTCATCTGTCTACAGATGACAATTATCTAAAATAGAAAATACTAAGAAATCAAAATAGTGTAAGAACTAACCAATTTAGCAAGGTTTCAGTATACATCAATATTCAGTATACATCAGTATTCAAAACCAACTGTTCTTCCATATACTTGGAATGAACAATTTAAAAATGAAATGAAAACAATTCCATTTGCTATAGCATCACAAAGTACTGCATGGTTTGGAATGTAGCTCAGTGATAGAGCATTTGTCCAGCATACATAAGGCCCTGAGTTCCATTCCAGACACCACAACAAATGAACAAACAGAAACCTGCACACATACACAAAAACTTAAGAATAACTTTAACAAAACAAGCACAATCCTTATGTTCTGAGAACTATATGAATCATTGTTGAAAAAAATTAAAGAAAATGTAAGTAAATGAAAAGACATTTCATATTTGTGAATAAGAAGATACAATACTGATAAGATGATAGTACTGCTGTACAAATTCAAGGCAGTTCTTATTAACATTCCGTTTTTTCTAGCATAGGACAAGCTGATCCTAAGGATTCATGGAATTTCATGGGGCTGGGAAAGGAGGGTGAAGGTGACAGCTAAGAAGCATGGGAATGTTTTGGAGAGTAATAAAAATGTCATAAGGTTGATTATTGTGATAGGTTCACAACTACAGGGGGTTCTGGTAGCTCTGCTCACATAAACCCTGCAACAGCATCTCTGCACACATAGAAACGAGTCCTGGTATAGGAATGTTGTCTTAGAGGTTGTGTTTTGCTGGATCTGTGTTTTGCTCTGGAATTCTCCTCTCATGGGTGGAAAGCAAATGAGGTCAGGGATGTCATACGAGAGCCGAGGTCCGGCTGGCACAGAGGGAGCCAGCCCGGTGAGCATGTCTGCCTCTGGGGTCAGGCCATGTTAGGACAGAACTCCAAACAGGTGTCACGCTTTGTCGGGAAGATGTAGACCAGATTCCTTCACATATCTGGCATCTCAAGCAGGAAATAAATCTAGGGTCTGTTTGCAAGACATAAACATCACTTCGAATCTGAATCTCAAATGGGCTTCTAACAAGCTCATCATGTGGGATCAGCACTTTTCCAGTGAGGGTTTGGGAAGTGCAGGAACAGATGTTTTATGACTTCGATAAAGACTGAGGAGTAAGCACAGCTGTCAACCAAGTGAACTCCTGGTTGAGCAAGGCTGGGGAAAAGGAAGATGGGAATGAAATTAAAATGAGCCCAGGGGAAAGCTAGGAATCTGCTTCCTTATCTGAATCCATCCAGAAGCACAAGCTGATCAAGAAGGTTACAAGGGGAGAGAAATGCCACAGGTCAGCATTAAGAGGATGAAGCCACAGAGGCCTTGAGAAATGCTGAGCCCTTGGAAGTCAGTCCCAGGCAGAAATGAGTCAACCCCCCATCCCTCCCTCCCCACCCCCACCCCCCTTCCTGCAGCCTCAGCCTCCTTCCAATCAGAGAATACCAAAGAGGGTTTCCATATTCATTCACAAATAGAGAGGTGGAAGGACCACCCAGCTGTGTCCCCGCAGGGCACTTAAAGGCCCCTAGGAGGTCTCTCCCTCCGCTGTCCTGTGGTCCCTGAGAAGACAGTGGCTCCCCAGGCCATTCTTCTCTCAGGTGATCAAGTCCCAAATGTGAAACTCACAAAATGGAGTTCTAAAGAGAACCAGTTTTCAATAGCTGGAAAATTATTTAATTGTCCTTATATTTAGTTCCAGATCGCAATGATTCAAAAAAAAAAAAGAATTTCTAAAGAAAAGAAAAATGTTAACTTTGGCCTACAATAGCTCTCTCACTGCGTTGCAATGCCGAGGTTCCCAGAAATGCTGTAAGAATCCCAAAGCCCAGCGGTGATCACCGAGCTGGGGCAGAGCACTGAGAGGGGGGCAGCTTCAACCCGCAGCACCCACAGGACAGACACTAGCTGGAGGTAGGGGCGATGGATGACGCAGTATGGGGGGCACCTGTCCATCTGATGTTCTTTCAGGGGAAAAAGCTGCCCCAGAATCTCCACTCACCCTGGAGTTTTCCTTCTTTCCTTCCCACCCCTCAGCCCTCTGAGAATAAGAACGTGCATACTTCTCTCCTGAGTAGACTCGGGCTCTTCGAGGCAGCGTGTAGGTTTTGGTGTTTGCTCCTTTCCGGAGTGGGTCATCCAGGGGTGACTGGCAGGGGGGGTCTTCCAGGGGGTTCCAGTAGCTCTGCTCACACATACCTCGCAACAAGATCTCTGCCAACTGCCTGGCTATTGTCTGAAACACACGGGAGGAAGGTGTTGTGGGAATCTGATTTGTAGAATTCACTTGCTAGATAGTTATGCCGTTACTTGTATGAGGCGCAATTCCAAGACTCACAATTAAAAATGTTTACTTCCATGATGAAAAGTACGCCAGAGTGCAAAGAAAATACAGTATGCCAAGATATCTGAACACTTAAAGAGCCATTAAATTTTTTTGTATTGTGAAAATACTGTACAGAGGGGTTACAATTACATGGGCAAGGTACTGAGTACATTTCTTATCAAACATTGTAGCCTCCTCCTTTGTTTCCCCTTCCCATCCCTTCCCATCTCCCCCCACCCCATATGGAGCCATTTTTTAAATGAGGCTCAACCACTTCCACGTTGCCTTGTCTCGGCTACACGGGAGCAATGCGCATGCCTCATACCTGAGACAACTGGATTTGTGGCTCGGCCCTTCCTTTCCCCACAGCTCTTAGAAATAATGGGCCAGCCAGGCGCTGGTGGCTCACGCCTGTAATCCTAGCTACTCAGGAGGCTGAGAGCTGAGGATCACAGTTCAAAGCCAGCCCGGGCAGGAAAGTCCGTGAGACTCCTATCTCCAATGAACCACCAGAAAACTGGACGTGGCGCTGTGGCTCAAGTGGTAGAGCACTAGCCTTAAGCTGAAGAGCTCAGGGACAGACCAGGCCCAGAGTTCAAGCCCCTTGACTGACAAAAAAAGAGAGAAAGAAAGAAAGAAACAAACAAACAAAGAAAGAGAGAGAGAGAGAGAGAAGGAGGGAGGGAGGGAGAGAGGGAGGGAGAGAGAGAGAGAGAGCAGGCGAGCTGCTGGTATTTTCACCACCTTGCAACAGATGCCCACAAAAGCCTAAGCCTGCAAAGACCCAGAACTGACTCAGTTGGTGCCATCCCTGAAAAACACCTCCTCACTGGCCATGATGCCCACCGCAGGACTTTGGAAAGCCCCACCCCCAAGCAGCACCAAGGGTAGTTCCTACATGGCTCTTGAGTGGCTGTTCTCAGAGAAGACAAAGTAGGGGGGCTGTGGCTTCTTCGCAGATGGCCGTGAAGACTTGTGGACAAAATGAGGTCTTTCCCTCCTAAGTTACTACTGGTTAATTAATGAGCTTTCCCAAGCCCTCTGCACCACCACTGCAAAGGAGAGAGTGAGAGGATATATACTAGCAAGTGTTCTGTTCATAATTTCTAGGGACAAAGAAGAGCCTGAAACAAATCCCTAGGAAAACAGAAGCCCTGCAACCCAGCGTGGTCCTGGCCATTCTTGACCAGCCAGAGTTGGTACAATAGATCTTCAACCTGTGAGTTTTCTGCAAGAGCCTTGAATTCTCTGAAGATACAAAGGATGTTGATCTTCCCTGAGACTGAGCCCTTCTGAATATATATGTTCCAGAAGAGAAGCTTGCTAAGCTTTCATCCGTGTAAAAAATCTCTTAAGGCTCCCCAAGGAAACGTAAATGCAAGCAAATCACTAGCTTGGTGGCTTCTGATAACCACTGAGTAAAGGCAAATGTTCCCATGTAGGACCAGCTGCCTTTCAATGTCTATAAAAATGTGAAATTAAATGCACTCTGATCATCCCCAGCTGAGCCATCGGTAAAGATCTCATAAGAACACAATTTTCAGAACCTAAACAGTTCCTGAGCTGTTTTCTTAAACCTTTCATTATAGTTTCATTCTGATCTCACTGAAGCCATATAAGCTAATGACTTCTGCTGGAAATCTCAGCTGCCAGGAGTATTCTTCACTCGGTACAGTAGAGAAATAAATGTTAAAGAAGGGGGAGAAAAACAAGGAACATCTTCATTTTCTGGATATATTGTTACATTGGGATGGTAACAGTATAAATTACTTTTCTTCTCTTTTTTCTATTATTATAATAATAATTATTATATTATTATTTGCCACGTGTCCACTATGAGACCACCTTAAAGTGTACAGTCGAATGGCATTTAGTTCACTCACAATATTGTGCAACCACTGCCACTATCCAGTTCCAGAACATTTTCATCACCCCAAAAGGAAACCCTACACCCTTTAAGCAACCACTTCTCACTTTCCCTTCTTCCCAGGACCTGAGCACAACCATGCACCTCTGCCTCTATGGATTTACTCATGTAGGACGTTCTACAGGGACAGAATTAGGGCTCTTCTTGTGACTGGCCTCTTTGCTCAGTGCAGTGTGATCGATGTAATGTAGGAGTCAGTATTTCACCCCACTTTATGGCTGAATGGCATTCCGTTTCATGGACCCAGTCACACTTGGTTTACACATTCTTCAGCTCAGAGACATTTGGGGTGCTCCTTGCTTTTGGCCGTTACAAACACTCATGTTCAATTCAGTGTGTGAACACCTGTTTTCCATTCGTCAGTACTAGCAGTGGGATTGCTGTGAAAGCGTTTTTAAATCTTATTCTGTGGTCTCACATCGAATTGAGTTTCCAAGACAACTTTACCATCTCATAAGAGTATCACAAATCCACAATGATTAGCTAATCTAAAGAGAATCGTGTAGGTATTGATCAAGGCTGATGGTAAATTGTCATGGGAATGGCATCAGCTGGAGAAAAGCTTTCTGACATGTGGTACAAACCCAAACAGCAGCAAAAGGCCCAGGAAGTGCTTCTTGACCCAGGAAATGCAGAAACTTTAGAAATCATCTTTTCCAGCTCTGCCCCTGGCCCACTCCATTGGAATTTCTGAGGTCAAGGTCAAGAATGTGTGTTTCTTTGTTTAAACCTCCCCAGAAAAAGGATGCGGCTCTCTGGCAGCAGTCCTGGGTTCCATTCCTGCCACCACAAAAGAAACGAAAACCAGAGCTCCCCAACCAATTCTGATGCACAACTTTGGTTAAGCACTCAGGGATTAGAAAGGGCTTAACTTGGGTTACTTGAAGACCATCAGCTGAGACCACAGAGAGCCTCAGTGTGACATAAAATGGGACACATCTCCCTTGTACTGATGTGCCAGATCACAGCTAAAGGTCCAGGGGAAGTTCTAAGCTACCACATATTATTGGTTTGTTTGTTCTCTGGTGCTGAGGCTAAATGTGGGGCCTTGCACATGCAGGCAGTGAGCCACATACTCAGCCCTTTGTCACTCATTCTTTAGAAGTATCTTCCTTTGCCTTCTCAGAAAAACAGTAATTTTCAGAATCCTACTTTAGACAAGCTGAATGGTTAAAACACACTGATTTGAAAATGAGAAACCTTAGATAATAGTGGAAGACACTCTCTAGTTCAGAAACATAACTGAAATAAGCAGCAGGTAGATTCCCACAGTGTGTTCAGAACACTTGTATCTCTTAGTGGGCAAACCCATTCAATTTCATACTAATGTGGGAGTTATATGTACACATACAAATATAAGTCAACAATAAGACCGCATGCTCTATATTAAAGCCACTTTCATAGATGGGCCTTTGATTGTGCTTTTAAAGGAACTAAAAGAACATTTGAAAACGTAATCAGTTATTTTTGTTGTGCTTTGAGATCTTGGAGAAAGACAAGATCTGACGATTGAGAAGCTCTATAGGGTGCTGGGAACAAGTTTGAAAAAAAAGATCCCTGGCAATAATAGTTTTCATCCATATATTTGCAGGTTCTTTTGTCTTTAATAAGGCTAGAAATTAAAATGCTAGCAATTAAAATTCCACCAATACATAAATATCAAAGAACAAATAAGTTCTTGGTGGTGGGGGTCATCGTGGAGAGTGTATGTGACGGTGTGCATGTATGAAGTTGCTCTTCTTATCCTAGCCACCCGCTCAACTCACATTCTACCATCCTGAAAGCCTGGAAGTGCCCAAATGAAGCTCCAGCTTCATTCCTCATGGCGTGGGGCTCAGCCTTGCCATGCTGAGTACTCCCCCACAATGCTTAAAGAGTTGGAATAAAGGGAGGCAATCATGTATGACAAAAGCCAAAAGAAACTGCAACCTAATACAGGGTGGCTAGCTTGTGACATGTGGCCTTCACTCCACTTCTAATAAGCACCAGGCCTGCACCCAAATACCTAAAGGCTTCAATGTGTGGGGCAAGCTACAGAGGTAAAGGATGAGCCTCTCCAAAAAGAAAATGTAAGAATTTAAAAAAGAAAGCAAATTCTAGTAAACAGGAGAGCCTAATTTCTAATCAACTGTTTGATTGCCAGTGTACTGATAAAACCATATGGAGTTCACAAAAATAAACCATCATGTTTCTCTTTTTGAGTGTTGTCATCAGGATGATGATGCAAACCACGAGTGCTTGAGGATCCTGCCTCCTTGTTCTCATGGTTTTAGTCTGAGTCACAAGTGAACACGTGACTCCTTCTACACCCTGGTATCTATCCCAAGAGAGCACTGCCAACAAGCACATAACAAGAAGCTCCACACCACTGGCCATTAGGGAAATACAAGCCCAAACCACAAGACACAGCACCACACGCTTACTTGGAAGGCTGTTCCCTCCCCCCAAACAACAACAGAAAATGCTGGTTAGGGTGAAGGAACCAGAACCCTCATTACTGCTGGGAGAGTGAAATGGTGCAGCCGCTTTGGGAAACAAAATGGCGCTTCCTCAAAATGTTAACCATAAAGGTACGATAAGGCTCTGTAATTCTGCTCCCAGGGACATAGTCAAGAAAAAGGAACACATACATTCACTCAAAAACTTGTATGTAAATGTCCAAAGCAAAAATTATTCATAATGTCCTGAGTGTAAGCAACCCAAATGCTCATCAAATGATAAATACGTGAATAAAATGTAGCCTATCTTACAATAGAACCTTATTTGGCAATAAAAAGGATATACTAAAAAACTGCTGCCACATGGAAGAATCATAAACATAGTATGCTAAGCAAAGGGAGCGAGAACACAAGAACACATACTGTATAACTCCATTGCTATAGAATCAAAACAGCTCAAGGCTATAGAAACAGGAAGTACCTTAATGAGCGCCAGGGGCTGGAGGGAGGGAAGAGCAGGAACTGATTACTAATGAATCTAGGGATTCTTTTACAAATGATTCAAACTGTCTCAAATTAAATATTAGTGATAGCTGAACAACTGTGAATTTGCCCCCCCCAAATCCCACTGAAATGTACATTTTAAATGAGTAAATAACTATTTATATCTATTATACATCAATATATATAAACGTAAAAATACATGTGAGTCTCTGGCTCTGGAGACTCTGGTGGCCTCAGCCAGTGATTAGTCACACTTACCATTCGCAGGTTTTGGGTTGTTCTTGTTTCTACTGCTCTGAGAAGCTCTCTAAATCTCCCGACTCCTCTTGTCAAGTTCCTGTGTGCACACAGAATTTGATAGGGTTTCCATCTGGTGTGTGTTAATACGCAATATTTTATACACATACTTCAATGCATTTTGTCTACATGAAAGCTGTTGGCTAGATTTTAAGCAAACAATTATTCTGCACATGTCTATCCATCTTTGATCAGCTGAAAAATTTCACCTAAGAGGGATGAACTTTTTTTCTTTTCATGCTAGGGCCTGAACTCAGGATCTGGGAGCTGTCTTTGAGCTTTTTCACACAAAGCTGATGCTCAACCACTTGAGCCACAGCTCTACTTCTGGCTTTTTGCTGGTTGATTAGAGACAAGTCTCATAGACTCTCCTGCCTTTGAACTGCAATCCTCAGATCTCAGCTTCCTGAGTAGCTAGAATTACAGGCATAAGCCACCAGCACCTGGCAGATTGATATAGTTTTGTGCTTTCTTATCAAATTTCCTCAAGGAACTAAAAATCTGTAAATCAGCTCTGAGGCCAAAAAAAAAAAAATCAATCTATCTTACAAGGTCTATTTCCAACCTTACCCTGGCTCTCCCACCGTATACTGGAATCTATATTTTCATTTGAAGGGGAAAGGGCAGCACAGGGCAAAGGGCAGAGGGTATTGTGAGACACTGTGGCACTTATAGTAAGGCTTGTTACAAAGTCACGGTCAGGATAAGGAAACAGGTATGGAAAGTGAGGGTTCTACAAGCCACTACTCGTCATCTTTCTGAATATAAACCGCCACCCTGTCAATCCATCAGCCCAGCCCTCCCTCAACCCTGCACTGAAAAGAAGCTAAGGCTTTCTTGGAGACCATTTGTGTGGTGCCTGGGTCCTGGGGCTTTCCACGTGTGACCAGAGCACCTCATCCCACTCCCCACACACCCCCATGGAGACAAATCAGGTGACATGTTTCATCCAGAGATGGATCATTCTCTTGGTAACAATCAGGTCCATCTATCCAGGCCCCACTTGTCTTCTGAATGCTGGGCCCAGGGTCTGCAGATTGGAACTCCTCCAGCTCTCTGCTTTACACTGAGCACTGCTACCACCTATGACATAACTCGATGATGTTTACATCATGCTCACTAGAACACATCCCATCTTCCCAAGAAGGCACAGAACGAAACAGTCAGCCGGCACAAACCTGTCGGCTGGCCTGTGCAGGCTGTGGCAGATGCTCTAGGTATTTGGCTCTCTTCCTGGCTGACATTTTAAATCACATAAAAGAATTAAATCAAAACGTGGGTTCTTAAGCACTCACGAGGGCTATTAATTCTCATCTCCTACCTGTATGCCTTCTCAGAATGCTCATTCACAGCAATGGCCCAGAACTTTAAGCTAATGGCTTACTGGCACTGCTACGTAAATATTCCCATATGTATTCCTCTTGCCCATACTTATCAGATGACAGCAGATCAGATGCTTTATGGTGGCATAAAAAGAGAAGCCTGTGCTCAGGACTCCAAGCAGCACTAAAGAAGTCTAACCAAGATGTGAATAAGAATTAGGTAACAGGCCCTGGGACATACAATCTCCTCTGCTTTCCCCTTGGTTTGTTTTTATGAGATCCATGCTCACAGGCAGCAAAGTACATTTGCTCTGGGCTGAAGCTCAGTTCTCTTAAGTAACACAGGGGAAAGAAATAGCTACAGCTAAAAAAGGGACAGGAATGGCTCTGCTGGCTAATTTTATGCCAGAATCACTGATGAAGCGCCCACTGTGTACAAAAGTGCCCACTGTGAACCATATGAGATCAGAGTTTCCTCAGGGAACATCAGTGAAAAACTGGAGAGCCTGGTAGAGGGTCTGCTTTGCCAGGGTAGAAATGAGCCTTGAATAAGCAATATCAAAGCTAAGCATTATAACTTGGGAAGTCTAATAGGAAATGGTCACTCAGTTCTTCCATGCCCTTCGTGCAGTTTAAGCTATTTATACAGTCACAGAAGCATTGAGTTTTCTAGCTTTAAATGACCCAACACAATTGAGCTCACACAGTAGGGACTTAAGCTCAAAGCCTGGTAAGAAAGCAAGCTGGGAGCTTTCCACCATATTCTATTACTTTTTTGGGTAAAAGAAACACAAGCTCTAAACAGGAAATGTAACTGACTGGGCGCCGGTGGCTCACGCCGGCAATCCTAGCTACTCAGAGACTGAGATCTGAGGATCGTGGTTTGAAGAGACCCCTGGCAGGAAAGTCCATGAGACTCTTATCTCCAATTAACCCTCAAAACTGGAAGTTGCACTGTGGCTCAAAGGGGTAGAACTCTGGCCTTGAGCAAAAGAGCTCTGGGACAACACCCAGGTCTCAAGTTCAAGCCCTATGACCGAGGAGAAGAAGAAGGAGGAGGAAGAGGAGGAGCAGAGGGGGAGGAGGAGGAGCAGCAGCAGTAGCAGCAGCAGGAGGAGGAGGAGGAAGAAGAAGAAGAGGAAGAGGAGATGCAACTGGATGATGAAAGAAAAAAAAATATTAATGCAAGAGCCTAGGTGCATATTTTATAACAATATGCAAATCTGTATACACATATATAAATTCTATTTGTTCCAATGAAAACAGAAAAAGAGATGCTCCTGGGTATTGGTTTAAAATTGTAAAGCAAATCTGTTGAACCAGGTGAAGAACTCTGCCGCCTGAGGATAATGCCTTCTGCTACCTAAAGAGAAAAATGATTGACAGAAGAAACCCAACTCCCTAAGGCTGCGTGAGATAAGTTTCTTCCATGCAGGACCGAGGCCCTCTGGTGGACACATGGAAGAATCTCTATAAGTAGAATGTCCAGCACGTGATGAACACTCCCAAGGAAGCCATTAGAGCAAAGACAAGCTTTCCTCACGCTCTTGGCAGCTTATTCCCGGAGAGGATTTAGGATCCATCACCAGATTCTTACTTAATCTGGGAAGAATCCTGTTTGTAAACAAAGAATCTACAGAGAGCTGAAGGCTGGGGCTTGTAAAAACGAATGTGGCCTTCTGAAAGGCTCATGCGAGGCTGATTCCCACCCAACCCCAGACCAGTATGGAGGCAACAGGAAATTAGAAAAGGCCCCACCAGCTCAAGTGCAAGCGCATACAAATCTCAACAAGCCACACACCATTCCAACATTTAAAAAGTCACATATTACTCAACCAATCACTGCCACGGATGCAAATGAGAGCAGGACTATCCACCCTGCAAGCTGGGAGGGTAGTCAAGAAAGAAAGGGGGAAAGGGAAATATGTTTACAAGAATTACATTCTAAATGTGATAGAATCACCTAATTTGAGGAAAACAATCAACGCCCACAGGATTGCCTTCCTATCTCTAAACTACTGGCTCATTCTTTATAATGCGGAGGTTCATTAAATATCTAGAAGGAACGATTACTTAAAATTTCCACTCCACTATGCAGAGCGATGAGCCAATGGATGCGCCTGGTTCTGAGGGATTCCACAGACCCCTGACATGAGGTCATCTAATCCATTTCAGCACCCTGAACGGAGGCCCCGCAATGATGTCAGAATTCATTATGGTAAACTATTCTCCAAAGGAATGTTCTTGCGGGCACTGGAGCCGCAGCCGCGCTGGCGAGCTGTCAGAACGTGGGTTCATCTGCACTTTGCTTCTGCAGGCTTCCTGAGCGAGGTGCCTTTCCCTGCGGGTGGGGCAGCTCCCACAGCTCAGCTCTGACCAAGGAGGGAAGGGCCTGCCAGCCCTGAGTGCCCACAGCCTGTTCAGCCTGACAGGCAGGCGTAGCTGTTTCCACTCACCAACCCATCAGGGAGAGCCCAGGCCCTGCTCCCGTGGCCTTGTTCTCTGTCAAACCCTCACTTTCCCTTTGGCAGGCAAGCTTGTAACTTTTCATGGGAACATATTCTGCTCTCCCTTGACCTACTTCCACCTTTTTCTTCTCTCCTCCCTTTTCTCTTGTCCTTCTTCTAAACCTCTACCCTTGTTCTAGGCTCCCCGGGGGCCCTGATGCAGCCTTTTACAGCCAGCCTCCGAAGTCCCATTCTTATGACAAGTTCACAAGCATCATCCAATTGTCCTGTTTTATCATTCTGAACTGGCTTAGCTCTCTCTCTCTCTCTCTCTCTCTTTCTGTCTCTCTCTCTTTCTGTCTCTCCCCCCCTTCCCTTCTCCTTCTGTTCCTCCCTCCCATCAGACCGAGGAATAAGTGTATTCAAGAAGGAAGCCAGAGCTCTAACATCTAAACACAATGGAAAACCAACACTAGGAGAGACCAGGAGACTCGAGGGCTCTTTCAGATTGTGACAGGCCAGTTCAATGTCAAGTTCAACACATTCTTCTGTTATTTCTCCTTTTATTTCTTGAGACTAAGGTAGGAAAGATAATTCTTCAACATGTCCTTCTAAATGATCTCCTGATTCCCAAGTGTGACCCAGGCCTCCAATACCCTTAAGCTCGATATCACTTGCTATTGTCACACAGACTCACAATCGTGACATGAAGAAAGGAATTTTCGTGCTACAGAGCAAATCCCTATGCAATAAAGAAAAGGTGGCCCTGCCAGTATAAACTCAATTTCTCTCCTAGCTGAGAATTTTACAATAGAAATCAATTGCAGAACAAGTCAACACAATGGATCTCTCTGAGCAAAGAAATTGGCTTTCTGCAAGTTCCTTCTTGCCACTGGCACTTCTGAACCACTCACAGTGGGTCACTTCACCAATCATTAAACTCGGTTTCCTATAGGTGCCAGGGCTGTCCCAAGTACACACTGATGGACAAGGGACTCCATACCTGCCTTGGACAGCTTCAAAACCCTACCAGAATGGATGCATCTCTAAGCCAGCTTGGGATGTGCTCGCTTCTCCATCCAATCTCTTGGAATAGAGCCTGGCTCAGCAAGTATGTGAATGGGTCAGACCAGCATGAACCAAATGACCAAGAGCACAGCACAGGGGATCCACTCTCTACCTGCTTCTTGTCTCCCCTGCTTTCTCACCAAGGATGGCTCATGAGCAGTACTCTCTGTGGTGTGGAGGCCAGGTAGTGATACCCCCTACAA